GACCAACTGCAATATTCGGATTAGAAGGTTGTGAGAGCATGTCCAGTTTAATTGGCAAGTGATCACTTCCATATAGATATGAGTAGGGGCTCCAACTGAATATATGGGCTAAAGAGTGGTCACAAAATTCTAGATCTAAGGCGGATTCTTGTGGCCTGTCCAGTATTTAGAAGGACCATGTTGGTGGAGCCAACAAAGTCTTCAACTATTGTGACTTTTGGAGATCTTGTGATACAACCCCAGATAATGTTATGTGAATTGAAGTCTCCTACAATGATACACGAATGGGGTGGTTGCTGATAAGTATTTTCTAGTTCCTCGAGAGAAAAGATCGTTGAAGGTAACAAATAAATGTTACATATTGAGAATGACTGCTTGAGTGTCATTTCAATCGCAATCGCCTCAAGACGAGTTTGTAGTGGAATTTGCTTTGCCTGATAGGAAGAGTCTACGTATATAGCCACTCCACCACTAGCTATAGAACTCAGCAAACCGTTTTTATAGAAGCAAGTATATTCTTTATGGCAGTAGTAATGGTTGTTTTTTAAAATTACTTTCCTGTAAGACTGTAAGCACATGATAGAAGGACGACACTGAGACATGAAAACTTGCAATTGAGGAAGACGGGCATAAAACCCGTTTAAATTCCATTGTAGTATGAATGAGCTATGAGAAACTTAAAATGTCTGGGATGAGTCAGTTGCTTCGCCGTCATCATCGGTGGGATTAACTAGGGGGTTTAATTTCTTCCGAATTTTAGTGAAACGTGTTTTCATTGTGCGATTTGTTAGATGTAGATATTAGTTGGTAAAGCATGTCTGTTAGTTTTGCTATGTCTTCAGTGAATTCTTTAGCAATTGCTATTGGGTCTGAGGAGCCGGTTACATTTTCCAAAGAGATTTGAAGTTGATCGTAGGATAAAACGAATTGGTTAGGATTCTCTTGCATAATTGGTTTCAATGGTTGAAGATGGTCAGCTATTTTACTCAAATTTCCATTATCAGAAGATAAAATTTTCTTGATTTTTTGGACTGTTGAGCTAGTCTTGTGGGTTTTAAAAATTCTGGAGCAGTGTTTAATTGGGAGGCATTGAGACTTTGGAAATGTGCGTTAGAAGTATCTTCCACTGGCGACCAAGATAAAGAGTCAGCTGGGCGTTTGTTAGGAGAGGTATAGTGTTAGCTGCATCACTGGTGTCCATAGTTCTTTGGAAAGACAGAGGTAGCAGGCGCAGGGGTATTTAATGTTGGCAGAGAATCCTTTGCTAGACTAGAAGAGTTGAGCGAACTTTAGACAGAACCTGCGTTACTTAACATCTGCTCTTCTTGCTAATTTTCTGGGACAACCAAGGGAGCTGTATCTTGGGGCATGTTGTAAGCTCAACTGTATCGTTCGTATTGACATAAACATGCCAGAGTTTAGGAGACACTGCTAGCAATGCAACCAGCCACAGTCACCCCTCTTTTCAAACTCGATTGGAACTTTGACCAGTGGAAAAATGTGGCACTTCATATTTGAATAGCACAAAAGCTTTGGAAAACACAAAGCTAAGAATTTTCTGTATACCCTTCCGCGACTGATATAGACTTTCACTCTGCGTGACTTTTGATGCTAAATAAAGTCGCACCGGCATCTGCTAAAAATGTTGCAGAAAGCAGTGACCAGTGAATTCTTCTGAATTTTGTAATTTTAACTATTCCGCTATTTTGCCTGGCATTTTAGCTAAAGTGTGAACAAGGTTTTCACATAAAAAATTAAACTGCAGCAGAGATTGCCCCTTCAATAAGCAAATTTTGTAATCATAGGGACCTTACCCTACATAACTCTATTTAAGATAATTGTTATTTGACCTTAAGTGTAGTCTTTATTCTAACATTAATTTTTCAGAACATCGAAGTTGAACTAGTAATTTTCATATTTCATCATTCTTACACAATGATTTATATAAACTAAACTCTAGTTAGGGGATACGATCGTCAACATTATCAGCTGTGGTGATAATTTCAGTTGTAAAATAACAAGTCGACATTCATTAAGAATTATTATTAGACAAATATCTCGTTAAACAATTGTAAATTAGGTACAAACCCAATTAACTACGCCACAGTTACTACAAGTTTGTGATAATCTTATCAGTCTCCCCTCTACGATGGAAGATCAACAACGCTCGAACCTGTACAACAAAAGACGAAAAGTACGAGTGTATCCAAAATAAAGGATCAAATATCTTATTCCATTTCTTATTTTCGTAAGACATTCTGTTCTAGTTTCCTCTTAGATAGAATATTATCATTAGAGAGCAGATTTATAAGCAAAAAAAAATTAAGAATAAGCACTATAAGCACAACATTTTCAATAAAAAAGTTTTATTTTAAGCAAAAAAGCATTAAATAAGCATAACACTTTCATTAAAAAAGTTTTATTTTAAGCAAAAAAGCATTAAAAACATAATCATATTACAAATCAAAGAACACTTCTCAGAACTTTGGATAAAATATTTTTACAATAATCCTAGACTTTATATTTTACACACGTATTTCAGTTTTCTTTAAAACAATTTATGATTGTAATATGTTCCAAGTTGTCCACTGTAAAATTTTTTCGCCGATCATTTAAAATGTGTTTAAAATTGGAGAATGTGCGTTCAACATCCACACTCGTTGTTTCACTAAGTTTATGGCATTTACCAACAACATGTTGGGTTTTTCTAACTTTTCTATTACCTCACATACGAATTGATAATTGCTTCTTAGAAAAGCTACATCTTGTCGCAAATCTTTGTTTTCCAAAATATTTATGCAATCTTTAATCGATTGAGAAGAATCTTCGCTAAACTCCGTAACTACTTCCTCAAATTCTTTGATATATTTGTCATAATAAAATGGGCCTGTAACCATGTTCCCCATCTCGTTATAATCGGCTCTGGGGGCAATGGTATGTTTGGAAATTTTTCCTTAAAATGTTGCACTCTTAGTGGGGCTTTAACAAAAATCTTTACCATTTGCCACTAATTTATTAACAGTAGGAAACTGCAAACGTATTCCTTCAGCCACTCTGTTTAAACCGTGGGCAATGCAAGTAGAGTGAATTAAATTGGGGTACAATATTTTTAGATTATTCCCTGGTTTCAACATATAACGAGCTGTATCCGAGATCATCAATAAAATTTTATTCGCCGGTACGGCATTTGGCAAAAATAGTGACGTAAGACTGTCATTTACAAGTCTGGTAATCGTATTACCATTTGTTTTATCTAACATTTTCAAATTTACTACATACCCTCGACTAGGGATATTTTCATTTAAGATTCCAACAATTAAACTTGCCACGTATCTTCCACAACTATCGGTTGTTTCATCGACAGCGAACCATAAATAATTATCTCCAATGCGATGTTTACTTTCGTTGTAAACTTGCTGAAACACTGGGCCTACATAATTTTTTCGGAAAGTACTTTCAACCGGAATATGTCGATTGCAGTGTTTTTCAAGGAATTCTTGAAGAGGGCCTTTCTCCAATTTTTTTAAAGGTATATTGGACTGGATCATCATTTTACATAAATCGAAATTAAACTGAAACTGCTCATCTTTTGTGGAAGTAGATGCAACAGATTCATGTATGGTCTGCTGTTTAATTTTAGAAACTTCAAACATTTTCTTCCTTTCTACATGAATAGTCGTTGTGTCATGTTGCGTCACGTTATATTTTTTATCACTTTGAATCTAAAACAACGTACATATCCAGGATTAACAAAGGAAAATAGATAAAAAAAAAATAGTGGGCTTACGGTTTTCACACAAGCTCTGCAGAATATTTTGTTGTTTTCTAATTTTAATTCTGGAAAATCCCTTATCCACTCATCCGGCGTCGATTTTACTTTCGGCATTCTTTTAAAATATTAGTAATATTACCAAAAAGAATTCAACATGTAACAAGGGAGAACCACGTATAACACTGTACTACGACAGATGCGATAGATTGATGGTTGTGAAATAAACGGTTCATTTACTTAAAAGTTTCCATTAGAAAAAAATTAAGGTAGGTAGTTGGGTACAATAATCCTTTTTTCTAGAAAATTTTCAACGGTCTTGCCTCAAAATGTCGAAAAAGAACATCTGGTTAAAAGCTGTAATTCATTATCAACGGAAGTAAGGATTTAAAGTCATAAAATCTATGGAGTATTTTTCCAATCCTATAATAAAATTTTATTACCCAAACGACCGGAACCTATTCACAGAAAGGTGAACCATTGTACACTTGAGTAAGTGTACTTCAATGGTCAAGTCCAGGTTAAATGCATACTATACGATACGGCTAACTAACAAGTATTTGTCTTCCCGACAAGGCCGGCATTTGAACAAAATATGCATTAAAACTCATATTCGTCGAAAAAAGCATTAAATAAGCATATAAGTTTTAATATGCATAAGATTGAAAAAAAAGCAAATAAGCATAAAAAAATGTGTCAAACGACTCCAAATTGCATCATAGTTACAGATATAAAAAAGTTTTGAAGTGCTTACATTTTTTACAAAAAGCATTAAACCTAGAAATCCGCTCTCTAATTATCATAGCTGGGACCTACCTATCAAGAGATGGAAAACAGATCTCAGCGAAGATGATATGTATGATCCACTTAGGGAAACCGATTCTAAACGCTTGGGTGATAGACTGGAAAAATCATGGAAAGATGAAGAAATGTTAACAAAGAATCCTCATCCGAGCACTCATGAGTCAATTTGGTTTGGAATTTTTACTGTATGGACTTATATATTTTCTTCTTGATTTAGTAGTAATGTAAGTAAATTCCTGTAACTTTACATCATCGAAAAACCTCTGCTTTTGCTTGTTATAACAACAATTTCTGATAAAACTTTTAAATTACTTTGTACCCAACCAGAAAAATACTTCACAAAAGCAAGCTTTAATACATATATGCTGCTACCATAGTGCTATTTTCGTTCCGTGTTTACACACACCATGGCGTCGTGATTTCAGAAATGTATGTTGGCTACATTGGGCTAGCAATTACGCAGTCTATTTCTCTAGTGGGACTATTTCAGTACGGAATGCGAACTTGGACCGAGCTCGATTCACAAATGACTTCCGTGGAACGTGTGGTTGAGTATTCTAAACTTTCACCGGAACAAGACACTGGTACAAACACTCCTCCTCCAGACTGGCCGAAGACAGGAAAAATTGCTTTTCGGTCAGTCTCGATGCGGTACCCTGGGGGTTCTTCACCTGTTTTAAAAAGAATTTCCTTTGATATAAGATCCGGTGAAAAAATTGGTGTTGTTGGTAGAACCGGCGCCGGAAAAAGCTCTCTTATTTCCGTCCTGTTTCGCCTGTTTCCCTTCCATGGTCACGTTATTATAGATGGAATAGACACCAAATCGATACCACTGGCTATTCTTCGATCAAAAATCTCCATTATTCCTCAAGACCCGGTACTCTTTTTGGGTACCCTTCGCCAAAACGTGGACCCTTTTGAAGAATACTCGGATTCCCAACTATGGAATGAGTTAGAAGAAGTGGAACTGAGAGGAATGGTTGCTAACTGGGGCTCGGGTTTGAAAACAATTATTCTAGAGGGAGGTTCCAATGTTAGTGTTGGTCGGAGGTAGTTGTTGTGTTTGGTGCGTGCCATTTTGAAAAATGTGAATATTATAATACTAGATGAAGCCACTGCTAATGTTGATTTAAAAACTGATGAAGTCATTCAGAGGGTTATAAGGAGGAGGTTTTAAAATTGTACTGTTTTGACGATTGCCCATTACTTGAACTCTATTATGGATTCTGACAAAATCTTGGTTATGGATGCTGGGAGCATAGCAGAGTTTGAGCCGCCCCAAGTTCTGTTGAAAAATCGGAGTGGGCAGTCTCAGTAATCTTGTCAAAAGAAGTGGAAACAAAGAGGAGGATGTCGAACCTGGAAAATCTGTTGTTTTGTGATGTAGAATAATTCCAGAATGATGACGAAATAAAAATTTTAAACAGCTAGGTTAATGAGTAAAAAATTTATTTTTTTCCAGCAGGAAAAGTTAACGTAACTCTGTGTAATAAAGTGTAGTAGATATGCTTACAAAATATAAATTAAACAACATATATAAAGTCCTAATATTATAACTAAATTACAAATTAAAAAAAAATCAGCTTGTTTATGTGAAGGTGGGCATAGTGCGTCGACCGGCGCAGCGAATCTTAACCAATTTTAGACTTTTTAAGAGTTCATTGCTTTTTGTCGGTGGTTTCTAAGTATTAACATTTGTTTCGTGTGCCATGAAATGTTTGTTAAAAATCTAGGTGCGACTGTGTTTTTTTAGAATCGGTAGATGAAGCTGATTATTTTATCGCGGCTTTGTAGTTTACGTTCCCCCTGTGGTAGTAATTAGACATAATTATTCTAAAAATATTCGCTGCAGTTGAGAGCGTGACTAATGTAATTTTAAGCACAGGAATAGTTAGTTTTGTTTCAAAAAGATAAAACATAAATATTAATGATTCATTAAAAATAAGTTACATTGTTAAAACCACCTATACATATTTTAGCTTTAGATGAAACCTAACAGCACCCTTTTTTATACATCACTTTTGATTTACAAATATTTTCACAGCCAGAAGTTCGTGTTAAAAATAAAATATACTTACGTGTACACAAAAAAAGAGAGCTATTTTCAAATGTTACAGACATTAAAATATTTGTATATTTAAAAAATGTACACGCTCTAATAAAAACAGAAAAATATTTTACACTCATAAAACTGTGTATTTTACATTCACATTATTAATTCAAGTTTATTACTGACTATATTAATCCACTATAAAAATGTATAGAACGAGATGGAAAACTTTATAAAACAATAATATTACAATTGGACATGAAAAATTTACTTTTCCGTTTTATGACAAAGGTAATGTACATAAAATTAACAAACAAAGAAAACATGGTATTGATTAACCGAAAAGTGTAATTTATATTTTTATTGCGTGTGTATTTCGCATTCTGACAGTAATTAACCAATCCGGCAAAAATTCTCGGAAATCTATTTTCTAACAATTCCAATTTTCAGAATATCTACGATAAATTTGCATTTGATTTTGGTTTAAATTAAAATAAAATTTTTACGTCCTGGATAAGGACACGTTCACTGCTGTTTCAAGAATACTTGGTCTTGCTTTGGGTTCAAAAGTAGTTATTACTATGAAAAAAGTAGCAACGGTTCCAAATATACCCATGAGTGTAGATCGGCCAAGGAAAATAAATCTGGCTGCACTAAACTGAGGAAGGTGTGTTTCAAGTATGTGTCCAAGCCTATCCACTTCTTCCCTTATTTGTGGATCTAGAAGTTGCGTACTGGATTTCGATACCACAAAAGCAATTTCTTCAAATTCTTCCATTACATTGTCACATTTTAAAAGTAACATAACTGTCGGAATCTACAACAACCTGATTAGAAACATAAAAAACACAAAAACTAGTACCTACGAAAGACAAAAGGATAGTTGCAACGTGCGCTATTATAGTCTGAGTTACATTTTCTGTTCCAAATTCTTGACTTTGAAGATTGTATTCTAAATAATTAAGAAACTGAAGAGTGGTAAAAGTGATTAATAAGAGTAAAGACCATCCAAAAATACTGTTAAATCTGTTCACACTCTCCTTCAAGGTACAAGCATAGTACCCCATCTGATTTAAATTTTTGTCGTTAGCTACGAATTTGCTTTCAAAATGGTGCTTCAAAGCTTCATATCTCCGTTTAATCATTCCTATAATCGTGTGTACATAAAATGTGTAGAACAACTGGACATAATTTTGCAAAACTTCGAATCCAAATTGTTCTAATATTGTCACTCCCATAATAGTAAACCAGTAAACGTTTGTAAAAATTACGATAATCCAAAAAAGAATTTGGGGCACTATAAACTTCCATTGTATTCGTTCTTCTTTGTTATTGTCTGTCTCTTCTAATAAGCAGCTTGTTTGTTTTAAGCAGCTAATTAATTCAATCCACTGTGACACTTTAGATGTTTCAAACACTATACGACAACAAAAAATACACAGCACAATATCGTTAAGAAGGCACACTGTTATTTTTGCAAGAGTATATTGTGAATATAATGTATTTCTGACATACACGGATATCGTAACACAAGTAATGATGAGTAGAATTATAAAAACTTGATGAATTTTACGAAATGTTGTGTTTTTGACTGTTTCAATGGAAGGAGGAGTAAGAGCGAAAAACTTGCCCACTTTTAAATAGGTGTTTAATAGTTTAAAACACATTGTTTTGTGTGTGTGTTTGCAGTTTGTTTGAGAAAAATCTACTGGCGCTTTTTATTCACATTATCTTACTAATTTCCATAAACACATCATGCAAAGCTTGCTTGGGGATTCCGGTTCACATATAATTAATAATTATGGGTCATTATTAGCGGTGAATGACGTAATTTGGCAATAATTTAAGCTTTTTTTGCACATAACTAACATAAAAACAGTTAACAAAACATGAATTCAAAGAACTCAAAGGTGTTTGTGTAATTATGTTTAATTTGCAGCTAGTGATAAGTGATAACATTATTCTAATAATAAATTTACTCTGTAAATAAAATAAATAACTTAAAGTTACCAATAAATTATGGCAGTATGTCTTACACATTTCTAAGTTAAACATGATGATTTCGAAATGGGGAATAGCTCAGAATGAGATTTATTGCACGGTGTAATGTTCACGTTCTTAAGTTATAGCAACGTTTCTTGACCTACCATTACTATTATTCAATGAATGGCACAGAATGATTAGGATTAACAACCAAAAAAGCGGTGCACTGATAAAGACGATAAGGATCAGTCATTTTTCAGGGGGTTGCCGTCGTGTGTTCGGTTAACGTCTTTGACAATTGTGAGTTTTTCCAATTCAGACCGTGTCAACGCAGTAATGCTTTATGATGTGGTTGGCCCACAAATTGTGGATCGAGCGCTTTCCAGATCGCATGATTCCTTGTGCGCAAACGTTTAGATTAGTGGTACCTTCAACCCTCAAACTAGGACCGAAAGAATGCAGCAACCTGAATAACAAATTTTGGAATGCGTCGAAGAAAAACCCGACATCAGTAGGTACTAGCCGACTTGCAGCCGAAGTTGGAGTTTCACAGTTTTTAGTGCATCGTACATTAAAAGAACAAGGCCTACATCCATACCACGTCCAAAAAGTGCAGGCTTTTCACCCCGCTGAAGTTTATGGGAATCAACAATGTCCAGAATCTATAGAAGAGCTTCAACAGGGAGTGGAAATGGCAGCCGCTATAGTTCGTGGAACTTATGGAGTTTTTTTAACGTATCCGTGCAAACATGTTGTGACGTATTGAAGCCTGTATTACTAGTCAAGGACAACATTTTCGACATTTATTGTAAAAAGGTGGCATTCTAAGTTGATATAATTTTTGTTTTAATAAACAATGTGGAATCGTTATGCATATTTGCATAAATTTGGTGCATATCATATGACCATATTTCTCAAAATTTTACTGCATATTTTCCGCTCTCTAGTACTAACTACTTATATTTACTAGAATTACTACAAGTATCCAAGTATCTGAGGCGCTCTCTAGATACACTACTTCAGTTCAGTTATTTCTTTTATTTTCTGTGTCTTTCTGTGGCTGCAGGTCCTACACGAATAAACCGATTTCACAACGTTTTTTCTTTGTTTAAAAGTTGATTAATCTGGGTGGTTCTTATCTACGTTTGATGTTTGTAATTTCTCAATGCATTATGACTTTGTTAAATTATAGAGCTGTCACTACCAGCAACTTATAAATATGCACGTTTTAGATACGTAAAATATAATCCTCATCAGTTCAGATTCCTAGACCATGAAGATCAAACAAGATATAAAGATTGGCTCCAACTAGACTTTCAAAGTTTAATGAGAACAAGTTACTTAATTTTTGTATTATGCTATTTAATGTTCTTCCTGTGTCAATAAAAAGTTGCCTAAAAAAGTTATTTCTAAAGTTATTAAACCAGTGTTAATTGATAATGTATTCTATTCTGTATGCGAATTTATTAAATTTAAGTTTACTGACGTGTGAAAAATTCATTGTAATTATTATCCCTGAGAGCGGAAAATATGCAGCAAAATTTTGAGAAATATGGTTATATTGTTACGATTTTCAGTGAATTAAATCGTCGTAGGTAAAACTCAACAATTTATTTCTTAATAACTCGTATTTACACGATTAACTATTGCAACGATTATTATGTACAGAAATTATTCTCGACTCAACTAGATGAATAATCCGTTCCCCAAAGGTGGACCCTATTTAAACAGTACGCGGTCCTTCTCTAAACCCTACGTCACCGCCTCTAAACTTCTCCGGAATCCCCATTCGCGACTTCCGTTTCCAGGCGTTTCTTTAGCGCTCCGTTGCTCAGTCGCATTGAGGATGAATCATCAACGGCGTAAGACCAGAGAGTTCTCGACGGCCATAGTCGTCGTATCGAGGCGGCGTAAGGGTGTATTTCGTAACAATATAATATGTACAAATTTGCACAAATATGCAGTAATTTTATTAATATATGCAGAGATATGCTGTTGCATATGCTCCAAAAATAAAGAAG